CCGTTAGAAAAACAGCAGCAAATAAATAAAATAAAGACTATAAAAATAATCTAAAGCTGGCGTTTTTCTGATGCAGGCCCAAGTAAAAATGCCATAGGGCCTTCAGGTTGCGGTGACGCGACCTGGGGGCCCTATTCCAACCTCGGGTCGCGTGAGGGGCCCGTGTGTAGGCTTTCAGCATGTAACACATTATTTTGTCCACTGGGTTCGGACTTGTATCACGATGCTGATTGGCTTCTCAATACGACTGGGTTCATTACAAAAAGAGTTCAGCTTGATTTTATTAGGATGATCAGGAAGGGAGCCATTTTGCGATCTGCAGTCAAAGTGGAATCACATACCAGAGGAGAACGTCGAAAGCAGTCAAACAAGCGACCCAACTCCACCAGGCTTGACCTCTCTTGCTCTTCCCATCAGTGACACGATCACCGGGTCTTCCATGCTCCTTCTCATCATTATTATAATCCTCCTTTGCTTTGTCATCATGCATTTTATCACTCCTTGCAGTTGACTGCTTAGAATCGACCGCCATAATCTGCAATGGCTTACTGAAGAGATGAGATCCCAACTCAACACTGATGAGGTACAGTGCCCAGTACCCTGCAAAAACAGAATCGACAGATGGAGGGAGACGATCAAAAGAACTCCCAACTCAAGACGAGAACATCTTTAAAAAAAAATAAAAAGTAGAAAAGTAAGCAACAAGAAGAACATCATAACTTCTATGATACTAGATCAATAGCAAATTAAGAGCACAGACTGGAACGTTTTTTCCAACCGAATCTGGATGCGATTGCGCTCAGATGCATTCAGGAAAGTTCTGCTGTAAGTATGGCCTAACAGACAGAGAGAATGCAGAGAACTCAAGAAGTGTGTCCCAGCAAAACGCCTTGCCACACGGCACAAGGACCGAAAAAGGAAACGAGCGCATAATTCCCACAGAAAAAAACGGAATCTTTCATCCGTTCCTATAAACAGAAACCAATGCATTTTGCCAACCTTCTGCGGCCAGATGCACTTGTTTTTTTCGTTTCGTGTGCTGTGCGGTGAGGCCCATAGTCTCAGAAACAAAATTTCTCGCTGTTTCCTTAACGTGAAAAAGTAGGCAGAGAATGCAGAGACAGCAGAAGAGTCTATGAGCATGAAGAACACAGCTCGGATATTTACTTGCCCTGCGGCTGAGGAAGGGTAAGTTGAAAAGATTCACGCTGCAGACACCCTGTTGCATACTGTAACGTGCAACCAGAACAAGAACCGACCTTTCAATACAAAGTACAAGATAACACAGCAGAAGACTTAGATACCAGTGATCCGAACAATCAATGTTGTAATGCAGCCCTGAACATACATCATCATCATCGTTTCGTAGTGTGAATGGGTCTGGCGCTTCACACAGGAAGACAGCGCCNTTGGTGCGACCTTCTGTGACATTTGCGGTGCGTGTCTGGCCACTGATGAGTCCGGCGGGACGAAACACGCGATAAAAGTTTCGGTGCGCTTTACTGGCTCGCGCGTTTTGAGTTTAGTGGGAGCTGTTGGTGAAAGTCGGAGCGGGCGCTGCGGCGTAGGTGCAAGGGGGTACGCCAGCCCTTTGCAAGTGCGTCGTAGCGTATAAGTTTCTACGGAAACTGATAAGATTTCATAAACCTGTCTGGCCGCTGCCACTCAGTGTCACACTGGATCGGCCACACTTCTATCGGACTGCTAATGGGACCACACCCCAGGGGCATGGTCCCATTAGCAGACGGATTGGAGTGTGGCCGATCTAGTGTGACACTAAGTGGCCGCGGCCTGACAGATTCATTACGAGTTCCTGGACTGAGAAAACAGAAGAAAGGCAAAAAAAAAAACAAAAAAAACAAAGACCTCCCACTGGAAATCATGACAGAGTGCTTTCCAGCCATCAGATCACAAATGATCTGATGGTGGTGGTTACAACAACAATGAACGAAGCAGGCCAAATCAGGGGGTCTACCCAACAGGGAGTCTACCCAGCAAGATTACCTAAGCCATGCAGGCCAAAAAATATGTTGTTTATGGTTTTGATTTTTTAAAAAATATACGAGGTTATAAAAAAAAACAAAAAAAAAAATTTTGTTGTACATCTTTGAAAGATCTACAACCTTACTATTATTATTATTTTTTCTGTTTTTGTTTTAGCCCTTAAAAAATCTTTGTGAAACCCAAAAAAAAAGACTCATGTCATTTCTTGCTTTTGTTTTTTCATTGTGCTTATGTTTTTTATTTTTTAAAAATATATTAAAAGCTCAAAAAATAGAAATAAAAATATGGGGTCGTAGACCTCAAAAAGATCTACGACCCCCTTTTTTTTTTTTTTTTTTCTTCCCGATTATGTTTAGCCTAGGAAAAAAATCATTGCGAAACCCGTTTCTCCCCGTCCAACGCGCGTTCAAACGGGGATTGAACGCGAATTCAACGCGCGTTGATTTTTTTAACGCGAAACCCGCGTTAAATCCAATTTCGGACACACAGTCTGACACAACAAGTTGTCAAAATTCAATTTCCTGGATGAAGTTGCGGTTTGAAGACCCTCACTGTCCTCCTTGGTGCGTCCATACTGCCACGATTTTAACCTGGGTCTCCCATATATCCGAAAAATTGTAATACCAAAGAAAGATTATTCCATATGACTCAAAGTGGGGATACTGGATCTGTACTACAGTTATAGAGGTCACCAAGGAAGATAATGATAGCCTCTCCCCCCAACTTTAGACTTTATTAGCCAGAATCTCGTTGGGTGTTCGAGGAGTTAGGGATTACAATTGGATCCCACTCTTCGAATGCAGGTTTTAACCTAAGTCATATTTTACCGCCCCACCCGAAGTCTAATGCGAGGGGATCGGCGACCTCGGTCTTAACCCACCACAGTCAGTTGATCAGGCCGGATCTGCGGCCCACCGTTTTGTTATTCTAACAGTGGTACCCGTATTGGTTACGCAATACAGGATAAAATCCTCCTATCAAAATATATAGACTTGACTCTTGATCCCTCCGATATCTACCTGAACCAATCCCATCATCAAGGAGACTCTCCTCAGATCTCAGCTCCAGGCCGTAATCGAAAGGTCTGCTGCCTGGTTATACTTGGTCAGCAGCCCACGCTGGGAGTTACGTCCCAACGATGTCAATTTTCCACCATAGGCTTAGTAATTTCAAGTCCCTCGGACTGACCTCCTAAAGTGGATGAACGATGATCATTTAAAAATATACATATACAAAACAATTTGACCAGAAATGTTTTCTCCCCTCGTCAGTTGTCTTTTAATGGGTGAACAACCCCATTGAATGTGTATATGAAAGAAAACAATTTCATCAATAAGAATGATTTAACATGATTGTCATATTTTTGCTGATCGAGGGGCATCGTCAGAGCCACTTAGGGGTCGTGCCTCCCAGACCTCGATCACAGGCTGGACAGGCACACGTCTCGGGGATCTTTTTCCAACAGGAGAAAACCAACCAAAATATTCATAAAAAAGTATAAAGTATTTGTTTGACTCCTTATCTTGTCAGAGGGCAGAAAAAAACATCCAATTCATTCATAACATACATTTCCCTGACTCGCAGGGTTTCTCAAATGCATCAAAATTTTGACTTTTTCACAAACCTTTTTTTTTTAAGGGTCTTTTTCAGTAATAACCATATAAGACAAAACATGGAAAAGTCTGATCATAAATGCAAAGCACTTTTCATACTGTACAAGTTATATTTCATTCTGTCATTCTTGAACACTTAGGCGCTTTTCTAAGCATCCTAGTTCAAGATTTGACAACATAACTGTCTTTCATATTCAAGATACATATCTCATCCATCCAAACCAGACACTGGACCATCTCAATTGTGAAAGTGAAAAGTACTTATGTTCCCCATAGGTATACCTCGTAAATAAGCTTAGGACAAAGAAAACTCATTTGAATACAAGGTATAAGTCCAAACCAATCCAGACTGAGGCATGGAGCCTTATGACAAAAAATGAGTTACACATCTCATCTATCCTCAACTACTAGAGTACAAATGACGAGTCGGAAAATATAAAGGATACTACAAAATCTTATATACCTAACAAATGTGGACAATTGGAGCACACACTCTGTGACTGACAAAACACCCTATCTGAGACTATATCTAAAAGGAGCAGATAACACACTCACCACATTTTTTTTTCTTCTGCTACCCTCAATCACTAATATACAATGTCTTTTCCGGAGAGAAGAAAAACATAAGGATATCCTAGCCCTGCAGATTTTGAATATTCACGGATATCCTAGCCCTGCAGGATATGTCAGGACTGAATCTGTTGGACTAGAATATGGCAAATTCAGTCCTAACATATCCCGCAGATTCAGTCCTAACATGTCCACTTAATCTGCAGGGCTAGGATATGTCAGGGCTTTTGTTTTCATGCTACCTCCCATTTTTTCCATGCTAGCTTCCATGAAATCCCAGTTAACTTGGTCATAGGCCTTTTCAAAATCAAAGAAAAGTATGACAACATTTATTTTCCTCTCCCTAATCTTCCTTACCGCCTCATTTATTGTCAGTACGTTATCTAGGGGGATGTATCGACCTGGGATGAAGCCTATCTGATCAATGTGGAAGCATTTATTTGTGATTTGAGTGAGTCGGTTGGAGAGGGTTTTGGCCAGGATTTTGTATGGAAGTGTAAGGAGTGAGATTGGCCTATAGTTTTTAATGTCTTCTTTGTCGCCTTTTTTATAAAGTAGTGTAACATGTAAGCCTTCGCTTGGGTGCTCTTCAGCTTGGCCAATTAGGAAAGTTGTCTTCGACTCTGCGCTTTGTCCAAGTGGTGTCGCAGTCGGCACGCTGGCGAAGGGGAAACTGTCGCTAGAAAAAGGGCGATTTCCATGAGACTTTGGCCATAGTTGAGGCCTTGTTTCTCTGTTCCTGCGAAGTGTTGAGGCGGTTGGTTGGGAGTCGCGGGCGGAAGGGAGGAACGCATTCTCACGTGGAGTCGGAGGAGGTTAAACGCGCGCATCTGGAAGGGACTTCGACGACGTTTTGTCCGACGAGTTGATCTTGTGTTTTCGTATGGATGTATTACTGTTCTTGTCCGATAACTCTGGTTAGGGTAATCGCTATTGATGGTAAATTCTATGACAATTCGATAATTACGATCGGGGTTATACTCGCAGCTATTTTCCAAGGTAAGTTCCATCTTTACGATCGGGGTTATATTGGCAGTTTTTTTCAAGGTAAGTTCAATCTCTTCAATTACAATCTTAGTTTGGTGTTAGTTTTACTTTAACATCATCTATTCTGAATCGTTAGCATATCTGTAGGAATCATCACGATAATTACGCAGTTTTGTTCCTTGGCTACACCCTTTAATAACTCCTGAGTGTTTCTGAATTTCACTATCATAGCTTAAATTCTGATAGTTTTTCCAAATTGGTGGGAGTTGTCATCTGTTCATTGGGCGCAAGGGGAAGGGGAATAATTGTAATAAGCTTTACTGCTGCCCTGCGGCCTCTTCAACGGGTCATTTTCAAGAGAAAATTCCCAGTTTATTCTTGAGGGTTGGATCGATTATTTTAGAAGGGTAGAATTGGGAGAGTGGG